TTGCCATCCTCAGCTCCATGGCAGCTTTGGCCCATCTAAGTGCCTCCCTACAAGCACGAGCAGAGGAGGTGTATTCATCTTTGGTGATCTCTCCCTGTTTCCGCTTTTTATGTGCTCCCCTTTTGTCCCTTAGGCTGCCCTGGATTTCTGTGGTCAGCCAGGGAAGCCTCCTGGCCCCTTTCCCCCTTTTGCCTCGCTCGGGGATCGTCTTGCTTTGTGCCCGAAGGATCATTTCCTTAAGGCACAGCCACCCTTCTTGGGCTCCCATCTCTTCAAAACTCCTACTCTGCAGTGCGTCCTTGACTAATCGCTTGAGTTTAATGAAATCAGCTTTCCTAAAGTCTAGCACTTTCACCCTGCTAGTTAGCTTACTCACTCGACGTCTTATGGTGAATTCTATTATTAGGTGAATTAGTTCTAAGTCAGTCCACACACAGTGTTGATGCACTTTAATGCCTGCATGTGTAGATGACGGCCTACTCCCTCTTATTTTGCACTAATTTACTCTACAGTAAATTTAAGCTGGTGTAAATGAACGTGTAGACACACCCTGGAAGAATTACCTTGCTTCACCTTGCTTCACATGGTGTTCATTTGTATATTTGAGGGCTAGGTGGATCCATCGAAAAGGAGACCAAGAGGTAGTGGGGATTCTAAGTGATACATAACACCATTTTTTTTTAGTGCATTCAAGAAAATCCACCCTCTTAATGCCAGAAAAGAGGCTTTTGAACCCCAAATGAGAGTTACTCCCTCTCTAACTACCCTGCTTCTGGTTATGTTCTATGAAAAGATCAGGTTCAAACTAGACTTTTTCTTCCTGCTGCTATAATATTCAAATGACAAAGCATAAAAGAGACAGCACTTCCTCCTTGAGGATAGGAAGCCAAGATAGTTTTATTTGAAGGCGTTTTGAGTCATACTCGGACTGGAATCACATTTGGAAGTGGAGAAGAGGGGTAATAGGGAAGAAAGAAGGAGGATGTCAGAAAACATCATTTATACTGACTTGAACTTTCCTGCAGTAGCTGGGTTGGGTTCAAGGCTGGTGAAGGACAATGATACCCAGGCAGGTAGGTCAATGTTTGGTGTGCTGTGTGCTGTACCTGGGTCACATTTTGTGAAAAAACAAGTGTTGTGGAGAGACAAAACCACAGTCACAGAAAGGAAGGGGAGGAAGGAAGGAAGGGGACCCTGATGGAGGGAGTACAGGTGAGTCACCATGCAAACTTACTCCCAAATACCTAGGATGATTTTAATTCAAGCTGCTAGTCACTTCTATTCATGTCTGAAGGAGGATGCTCATTTTACAGAATAAGGATGCATTATATTCAGTTATTGAAAAATACTTTTTTTAAAGGATGGTTTGCAGTAGGATCTAGTTAATTTTTCTTTGGGATTGGAAATGATGGCTATTTATCTTCAAGTGACTGCTTATCAGTTGTTTGCCATTTTTGAACTTTCTGTGATCTGTATTTTGCCTGCCATTTCAAGGCATAGCAGATTTTTCACATGTATAGAGATAAAAATATTTTACAAACATTCCAGATTTAAATTGTATATATTCTGATTTGCTCTATAAGAACTTATAGAGAGATAAAGGCACACTATATAATTTATTTTCATAAAAATGTAGTCGTTTACTACATAACAATTACATGATTATGATGGGTGAAATTTTTGCTTTGCACCCTTACATAGACTCATCACCAAAACAGAAAATAATTCTGCAAGAATGGAATAATTGATTATCTATGCTTTTTGTGCCAAGAAAAGCTGAAGACTTTTTAAAGATACAATGAAGGACATGGATCAGCACTTTTTAAGCTGACTAGTTGCAAGGATCAAGCTCCATAATATGTGTGTACATTTGGAGTTGACTAATTAATAAACAATGAATTCACCAAAGGGTTTTGTGTACTAATCAGAATGATGCTGGTGGCATTTAAGTGCCCTGAGTAATAAGGCCATAGTGACTAGTTAGTCCAGTGATTAAATAATCACTGTACAGTATTCTGAAATACATCATCCCCATACAAACCTTCACTGAACCGATAATGATAAACCACCGGGGGTATTCCAAGCAATTCTATTCTTTTAGTGCATGTTTCTATGACTATCTATCTGAGAGAGTAGTAGAGACTGCCATCTTTGTTCTCTGCTGTTGTCTACACAAAATGAAAACTGTGCAAAAGCTTGTGCAGACATATTTAAATTAATATATTTATATTTGTATTAAGTGAAGTTTCCCACTGCATGCTTATGAAGAGGATGGTGACAGATTAATCTCTGTGGCCGCAGGGGACCAGACAAGAACAAAGGATTTTAAATTGCAGCAACAGAAATGTAGTTTGGCTGTCAGGAAGGACTCTCTCACTGTAAGGGTGATTAAGTGCTGGGATAAATGACCAAAGGAGGTTATGGAATCTCCATCCTTGGAAGTTTTTAAGGTAGACAAACATTTATCCAGAATAGTTTACACATCTGGTGTACAGCCCTGAGCAGAGGGTTGGGCCAGATACAATCTCCTGAGGTCCTTCCACCCCCTACTCTTCTTTGATTCTGTGATTCTCCCTCAGTTAGTTTAAATATATTCCTAAGCATTTTAGAAACTAAACCCTACTTTGGTTTAAATGGAAACAAGAGCATCTTCCCAGCTTTCTGTTGCAGCCTAACAACATCATTTAAAAATTCTGCCTTAGTTTGGCCCAGTGAAGCTCTACTTACAGACAAACAGATTTCTCTTTTCTTTTCTTCCTTTCGTTTTCTACTTCTCTTTTCTCTCGTCAGATAAGCCTGTTCAGTTTCCATCCCACCCTCACTTTTCACCTTGTCTAACTCATGACTCTTCACAGCCAATTCTGCAGATTGTTCTTCAGGTTAGCTTTAAATGACTCAGGAAACTGGGGTCTCTGTCACTTCACCAGATTATTCCAGAGCCTAATAGAAAAATCCATCTACACCCGCCCGTTTACACCCTTCACACACTGGCAGCTCATTATTATGCAGTTTCCTTTGTGGTCATGAAGCCATACTATAAATACCCCAGTGCTCCACATTTAGCTTAAGGGGAGGGCAAAATGGGTGCAAAACATGTCCCTTCTGGACACGTTGTGTTTTGCATGGGCCTGTAACTAACTATACTAGGTGCAGGGAGAGGAGAAGCAGACTCTGTCTCTTCACACTTTCTGGACCTGAGAAAATCCAGGCACCATGAGGAATTTTACAAAACACCTAGTTTTCTACTTTGCACGTTTGTTTTTTCCCTTCAGTTAAGCTGTTTGTTTTTCTGAGAGGAAATCTAGTAATTAAAATGCCAGATAGCAATGTAGCCATTAGATACATAGAAGACATCCCTGCAAGCAGCAGAATGCAAACCAGTGGCTTGAAGTTGCAGCAAAGTACGTTTAGATTGGGTATCAGGAAAAACTTCTTTGCTGTTAGAACAGTGAGGCAGTGGAACAGACTGCCTAGGGAAGTTGTGGACTCTCCATCATTGGAGGCATTCAAGGAGAAGTTGGACAAGCACTGGTCAGCGATGACCTAGGAGTAGCTATGCCTATGCTCTACTATGGCTGCTCCTGGGCTTTGCTGCTTGCCACATGGAGCTAGGAAGGAATTTTTTCTCATCTTGTTGCTTCATGTGTCAGGGTGTTTTTAAGCCTTCCTCAGAAGCACTGAGTGTTGGCTGCAGCTAAGGCTGGGCATTTTGACTCGGATATGTCAGTGCTCTTTTTGAGACTAAAATCCATAGGCTCCTGGCTAAAGGGTCTTGCCACTCTGCTCAGGGTCACACCAATCCCAACATTTGGGGTCAGGAACTAATTTTACCCCAGGTTCAGATTGGTATGGACAGTGTTGTTTTTTTCTGTCTTCTGTCTCAAGTGAATTTTAACAACCCTTGTGGCAGCGGAACACCAGCTGTCATTGTTTCTTTGCTTTACCTGCTGCACGTTAGGGTGTTATTCTTGTGGTTGTGTGTCAGGGTTGACTGTGTAGTTTTACTAATGTATTAGACAAGGCTTTATGTAGGAGGGTTTAGATTGGGTTGGGCTAAGGAGTTCTCACCTTCTCTCTGCTTTTCTCTGATTCTATTATTCAAAATATCATGGCTTGTCTCTTTTAAAACATTTCCCCGCTCCTTTATGTTAGTCCATATCAGTGTGGTTCTGAGCTGCCCAGCACTGACCACTGCATTCTTAAATGGATAAAATTTGATCCAGTGCAACAGGCCACCAGCAGGCCCGTGTATTAAGCCCACGTAAGAAGGCAATGACACTTGGTTATAAGAGTAAGAAACTGTCACTTCACGCATTGCAAGATGATGGCTTGTAATACACAACCAAAACCTGCACTCACATTTTACGGGCCTACAATGAGTAAAACAAAACAATTCAAAACTCCTGCTGCCCAGTTCTCTGTTTCCTGCTCTCTCTAAGTGAGTCCTCTCACACCCCTTCCCTTGCCGTACATGTGTATCTTTTGCTTATGTACTAGTTTCTGCTCGTATACACGTGTGCGCGCGCGCGCGCGCACACACACACACAGAAAACAGCAGCTTAACTGGGATGTTGCTGAGCACAGTACAAAGACACCTTTTGTTTATGGTCCCTTAGTGGGTTTTTATTCCATTCTGGTTTCTTCTTCCCTCTGGTTCACATCTTTTTTTTTTTCCCCCTCTTTTGAGATCCTATATATGCAGAAGTGAAACTGAAACCCATGGACCCAAGCTGCTTAAATACCTGTGCAGCAGCTGGTGAGTCTTCTAAAGCACTGGTGCTCAACCTTTAGTTTTGGCCCCATAGGCCAGATGAGTGGGGTGAGTCCAGTCTCCAGGTTGCATCAAATTCCATGTGCCAGGATCAGACCCTAGGGCCTGCAACCACCCCCTGCAGCTCCCATGTGCTGGGACTGGTCCTCAGAGGCAAGGTTGCCATCCTTTCCCACTGGGGCCTGCCACTGCCCCCTTCTGATTTCCTGCATGCCAGGATTGGATCCTGGGACCCAGCACCACACCTGCCTGGCCATGTGCTTGGGGACTGCGTGCCCAGTTCAGCACACAGGGCCCAGACCTCTCCACTGATATAGGAATGTGGTGGTGGGGGAGCAGTACCACCACTCTCCTGCTACCAAATTTTCAGACACATGGGGAGATGCATGGGCCAGGTGACATGGGGCCATGGGCCAGATCTGTCCCATGGGCCAGGGGCTGAGCACCTCTTTTCTGAATTGGATGGTGTTAAAGCAAGAAGTAGGGGGTGGGGGGTATCAGGTCTTTCTAATTTTGCAGCATACAGCTGGTAAAGTAGAACAGTACAAGTGCACACCCATTTCATTTGCAGGTGGGAGGCAGGAAGGCCACAGCTCAGACACAGTTCAACTACATTAATTGTAACTGATCTTGCCTGAAGAAGTCCCAAAGTCATTAGAAAAGTACAGTTGTACCTGTACTGTACACAGGACTTCAAACTCTTAAATGCATGTCATGGGTAAATGTAGGGGTTTAGGTTGTAGCCGTGTTGGTCTAAGGATATAGGCAGACAAGGTTCCTTGGGTGAATTTGATATCTTTTATTAGACCAACCCAAATGGTTGGAGAATAGTTATTAAGCAAGCTTTCGGGTTCAAAAACCCTTCGTCAGGCTCAGGAAGCTGCAGCAGTTGGTGTGTGCTCTTCCTGGATGGAATGAAAAGTAAAGAAGCCGGGGGCTGGGCTGGGCTGGGCTGGGGAGTCAGTTGCCAGGCAGATTATAATGTATCAAAAATCCAATGTCTATGTTTAGTCCATGATCTCTAGTATCCAGCAGGTTGATGAAATGGAGCTCATAGGCTCGTCTCTGGGATGTGTTGTGTAAATTTCCCTTGAGGATCAGGACTGAGAGATTGGAGAGAGAGTGGCCCTCCTGTGAGAAATGTGCCCCCACCGGTAATTGGGTGTTTCTGTCTTTGATGGATTTCCGGTGTGCATTCATTCTGGTGCGCAGTTGTTATCTGGTCTCTCCTACATATCTTCCATCAGGGCATTTGGTGCATTGGATGAGGTATATTACATTTTTGGAGGTGCAGCTGTAAGATCCAGGGATGCTGATGGCTGTGTTGTGGGGTGTAGTAATAGTGGGGGTGGTGGAGATGTGGGGGCAGGTTTTGCATTTCTTGTCATGGCATGGTCTGGATCCTTTTGGTGTGTTCTGGGTATCCAGGTGGCTCTTTCAAATGTGCGATCTACCTCTCTGGAGGAGTGTCCTTGCTGGGTGAAAGCCTTTTTAAGATTGGTGAGGTGGCAATCCCGGGTGTTCTCTTCAGTACAGATGCGGTGGTATCTGAGGGCTTGGCTGTATATCACTGCTTTTTTGGTGTGTTTCGGGTGATTGCTGGTTCTGTGCAGATATGTATGTTGGTCTGTGGGTTTCTTGTATACTGTGGTCTGTATTTTACCCTTCTGGATACTGATCCTTGTGTCTAAAAAGGGGATGTTGGTGTTGGAGTATTCTAAAGAAAGTCGGATGGAGGGATGGTGACTGTTGAATTTCTGGTGGAACTCAATCAGAGATTGCAGGTTCTCACTCCAAATGATGAAGATGTCATTGATATATCGTAAGTACAGCAAGGGTTTGATGGTGCAGTTCTTGAGGAAGTCTTCTTCCAGGTGGCTCATAAAAAGGTTGGCATACTGTGGGGCCATTTTAGTGCCCATAGCTGTTCCCATCATCTGGAGGAAGTGTTGATTATTAAAAGTGAAATTGTTGTGTGTGAGGATGAAGTGTATAAGCTCAGTGATATCTTTGGGTCTGTATTCTGGGTTGTAATCTTGTTCCTGTAGATATGTAAGGCAGGCATGGATGCCATCCTGGTGTGGGATGTTGGTGTATAGACTGGTAATGTCCATGGTGGCTAGGAGCGTGTTGCTGGGAAGGTGGGCTATGTTTTTAAGTTTCCGTAGCAAGTCTGTGGTGTCTTGGACAAAACTTGCTCTGTGGGTGACAAGCGGTTTTAGGATGGATTCAACAAAACCTGATATTTCCTCAGTTAGGGTCCCATGGTTGGATATGATAGGTCTGCCAGGGTTCCCTTGTTTGTGGATTTTAAGGAGCATGTAAAAAGTCCCTGGGTTAGGTAGGGGGGGGGTCAGGGGGATTAAGGTCTGTAGTTTTTCTTGTAGTCTTGATGGAAATGATTTGATGGTATTGTTGAGTTTTTTGGTGAAAAGGGGAGTAGGATCTTCTTGTAGTTCTTTGTAGTAGGTGGTGTCAGAGAGCTGTCTGTTGGCTTCCTTTATGTAATCCTCATGGTTTAGGATGACTATGGCTCCTCCTTTATCTGCTGGTTTTATTACTATTTGGTGGTTATATCATAGAGATTCTATGGGTAAATGCAGGATTTTTAAAAGGGGGTACAATGTTGAGGCGCATCATCACATAAAACACAACACATATTTTTCTCAAGTTAAAGAAAAACTAAAATCTTTCCTAATATGCTAGCAAAGCAAAAACAAATGTAACTTTATGGGAGTGCAAACTAATATGCTAGATCCTATCTAAAGTCTTAAAAAACACAACAAACTAGGCAAAATAGTTAAAATAATTTCTCTTATTAATCCCATAGTCATTGTAATTAAATGTAAATTTCTTATTTGTATTCCTGACAGTGCAGCCAACACTTCACTGTTGGTTATTTCCACACCTCCGTTAATGCTCACCTGAGCTAATATTACCATATCTGAGTTTAGTTTTTCAGGTAGAGGTAAAAAACAATTTGCAGGGCTGTGAAAAAGAAGAGAGACATTGCCAGGCATGGCTAACAGAGCACAATTTCATAGGAAAAATACTGTGATAATGGAACATCAAGACCATTAAAAAGGAGAGAGAGTGGTTACCACCTGTGTAGTGAAGATAGATTGGCAGGAAGCAGGTGGATTACAGTGATCCATGAAGTCAATCAATTCCCCCAGTGATGCCTGAATAGAAATGCTGCTGCCTATCCCAGGGGGTAGGCTTTAAAGTTTGGGTGAATCAAGACTCAAAGCAGGGGTACAACTGCAGCTCTGCATTCCTCCAGATCCATCCCTAAATGCACCTTATCTTGTAGTCTGCCTGATGACATAAGCATCTGAACAGGCATGTTCACCGGGGTTGCACAGGGATACATGAAGGCAACATCTGACATAGCAGCTGGAATTACATATCCCTTTTGCTGGTCAGGCACAAGGAAGGCTGGAATCTACTTCCCTCTCCCTGAGCTGTACTGGGTCTCCTTGGCAGCCAGGTGTAACCACAGCAGAAGTATGTTTTAGTCAGGAAACCCAATACATATTACTTTGAATGTATTAATGAACCTGGTCTGTTGACTTGGTGAATAAATGGGGATATTTTTCATAGCTATCTTTTGGGGTGAAATCACCTGCAGACTAAACTTTCTTTGGGCACTAAACTTTGCAAAAATATTTTTATTTGACAGATTGCCTTCAACTTTCTGGTTCTGGTTAAATTACAAGATAATTAGAGGTAATGGATTTTCAGTGCATCAGTCCTCCTGGAATATGCTAGAGAGACAAACTGAGTGTGATAAGGAGGAAGAAGAAAGTTAGCTTGGGCATCCAACATGTGTCAAAACAGGCCAGTGTGTGGGTTGGAGGTGAGAGAAAGAGTTAGAATACTTTTATATATAGCCATAGCAAATAACAACAGTTTGTTCCTCAGGTCCCATGAGCCAAGAAGTAAATATAACTACCAAAGAACCAAGTCAGCCTAAGCCAGGTAAGTAAATATGCCAGTAGAGGGTTGAAATAGAAAGAGATGGAGGATCCTCCTTGATCCTTTAGTGCCATGTTTGCTGAGTTCACACAGTCCCTGAACATCCACATGATCTCCCTTCCAGTCTCCCTTGGCTCTTTGCTTCCTGGTCAGCTCTGTGCTGAGTTGACAGGATCCTTGTTATGTCAAGGATCACACTGAAATAAACCCGGGAAGAAACCCCAAAACAGGACAGTCACAGACAGAATGAGGGAAGGAGAGAGGAGAAAAGAGATAGCCCATCTCTACTGTCAGATTTACTATGACTGGGCACTCTCTTATAGTAACAGCCCTCATTTGCTATAGCAAGGCTTTGTCTTGCACCTGGGTTTCCAACCCCCTCCTGAATCACTGCTGAGCAGTAGTGGGGGTCCAACCAGTAGTGGAAGGGTTACAGCTGTCCTCACCAGGAGAGGGCCAAGTGGTACTGGAGGATATCCATCAGGTCTCGGGTGAGCCCGCAACATATCACAGAGAGGGCAAACAGGAAGCAGTTCAGTGCTGTAGGGCTTAATATGTAACTTATGAAGATTTAATTTAGCTGCTGAGGTCAGAGAGGGGAAAGGAAAGAAATATACTTAGGACATAGCTTGAGAAGGAGAAGGGTTCCTTTCCCAGCAGGTCCACCCTCAGATTTGTCCTCCTCTCTGCAGGTGGGAGGTGCTGCTCCAAGGTCTGTGCCCTTGCACTGGTGGTTGTGACAGTCTTTCTTTTGGCCACAGGCGTGACGCTGATAGTTGTACGTGAGTATTGCCGAAAATGCCACAAATGCTTGGACTTGCCATGTCCCTGTGGCTGGCATTTGCCATTCAGGATTCCCCAGCCCCAGGTGGGATCTACTTCATGACACCCACAGCCCAGAGCACCAGGTAGCTAATTATTTCATGATTAAATCAACACTGTAAGACTCCATTACACAGCCCCTGAGTCTCATGCCTGCCAACACCCAAAGATAAATGTCATAACTGAAGTGAGATGCACAGACTAAGCCCCTGTGTTTTCAGTTTCACAGGCTCAGAAGTCATCAGGGCAGCAAACCCACTCTGCAGCCACCACAGCTAGAGAAAGAGGTAAGCCAGGGGCATGGCAGTTTGCTTCAAAACCAGACCAGTCACCTTGCCTCACTGTGATTTAGGGGAGATCCTGGTAGGAAATCCACATCCCCGCCTCCTCCCTGCTGGGGACATGGGTTTGTCAGGCTCAAATGTCTCACTTGGGTTGCTGCAAGCAGGAGCAGACTGTAGCTGCAACACCCAGACAAATGATAACGCACTTGGGGGAACAGATTGACTAAAGAGCTAGGGCCAGACTTTTTTCTGCTCATCACTGTCTACGTGGCCAGGTTTTCAGGTATGCTATGCACCCAGCTTGCTGAGCTGCATTGAAATTCTAGCTACTCATTTTAGTGAGCCTCGGAAATGAGCTATTTGGAAAACTTGGCAGACAACATGGAGTGGGTAGCAGGCAGCTGCTGCAGCTCTGACTACCTTTGAGCCTGGGTTGTGGCCTGAGTCAGACCCACAGCAGCCTCCTGTCCAGCTCCCATGTGCCCTTCCCTTCCCCTTACTGTCAGGCACAGCTGGGCTCTGGCTTTGGGTGGGGTCACTCCTGGACACATGGAAACTCCTAGGTAGGTAGTTAGCAAACTGCCATTTAGATGTGCAAAGGGAGATAGAATCCCACCCTGTGTCTGCTTGTTATTCCCAGGGCTCCCAAGTACACCAGTCCCATCTGAGCCACGGTCAATCTCCAAAACCTCCAAAGGTAAAACAAATAAGCCCATGTCACTGAAAATTCAGTTTTCATGCTCATGTAAAAACAGGTAATCAGCAGTGTGGACAGTGCTGCAAGGCCCTGCAAGGGCTGAGCTTCCCCGTGTTATGCTGCCAGCTGAACTCAGCATGCTGAGCTGAATCGAAATTCTAGCTACTCATTTTGGTGTGTCTCGGAAATGAGCTATTTGGAAAACTTGGCCCATATTGTCTCATCGGGGACTAGGGATAAGGGAGGGAAGAGTGAGGAGTCCACATACCACTGAGATTTTCCCTCCAGGCAAATGCCCTCTCTGAACCCAACAAAAACTTCAGAAACATAAGCAGCCATTCAACATGGAGATTAAAAGCAGGACTCTAGTGACTTTATAAAGCCATGTGTTTGGCACTTATATGTGGATAGTGATTCTACTTCTCTTGTATTGTGAACATGTAGGTGTGTGCTCATTGGGGTGGCCATCATAGAGGACAGTCCAGTTGTCCTCTGTCCTCTATTGATATGAAACTGGATGCCTTTATGTCCTCTATTTACTCTTGAAGAGAAAAAATAGAGGATATAAAGGCATTGAGTTTAGTATCAAGAGAGGACAGAGTAGCAGAAAACCGGAATGTCCTCTATGATGGCCACCCTCTGCTCATAGACTGAGAATATGCAGTAAACTACCCTATTAATTCAAATATAAGGTGATGTTTTCCCCCCTCAATCTGCACAGGGGGTGGGAAATCCCTTCATCTTATATTTGCATATGACATAGAGCTAGTAGCAGGCAGCTGCTCTGGCTCTGACTACCACAGAGCCCAGGTTTTGGGCTAGAGTCAGACCCACAGTAGCTTCCTGCCCACCTCCCTCTGGCCTTTTCCTCCCCTTTACTGTCAGGTGTATCTGGGCTCTGGCTCAGGGCACGTGCAAACTCCTAAGTAAGTCATTAGAAAACTGCCATTTCGATGTGGAAATAGAATTCCACCCTATGTGTGCTTGTTATTTCCAGGTCTCCCAACTTCGCAAGGCCCATCTAAGCTACAAACAGTCTCCAAAACCTCCAAAGGTAAAACAGATAAGCTCGTGTCACTGAAAATTCAGGTTTTATGCTCATGTAATATTCTGCTTAGTACACGGAAAAAGGGGCCAGTACAAGGTTTCTGTTTCTATGCTCATGTTAAAACAGATAATCAGCAGCACGGACACTGCTGCATGGCCAGACATGAGCTAAGCTTCCATATGTTGTGCTGTGGGATGGAGCAGCCCAAGCAGCACCCGTTTAAGTGACCCAGACTACTTGGGCTGTCAGTATCTGACAGTGAGGGGAGAGGGAAAGCAGAAACTGCAGGGAGCAGGGGGAGAATGGGCAGCAGCTGTGGGGAGCTGGCAGTGGAGGCCTGCAGGTGGCAGAGGGAATGGAAGGCTGTGGGAGGAAGAACTGGATGGAGCAGAGGGCAAGGGGCCACCTGATCATCCCCCAACTACTGCTTTCCCTGATCTGGTAGTGGGGCAGGAGGGATTTAAGACAACCCTCCAAATTGCAGATTCTGTACTTGGCAAATTATAACAAATGTGTTAATTTTCCATATTGAGAATCTAATTACTTGGGGGGTCATTTTATATGTAGGGTTATTTTCACTACAAATGTATTCAGCTGGTGTGCATCCAGGACATAAAGCCAGGGATGGCCAGAAAGATGGTTTAAAAACTGCCATTTAGATACACAAAGGAAAATAGAATTCCACCCTACGTGTGCTTGTTATTCCCAGATCTTCCAACTACACAAGGCCCATCTAAGCAATACACAGTCACAGTCTCAGAAACCTCCAAAGGTAAAACCGATAAGCCCATGTCACTGAATAATTCAGTTTTCTTGCTTATGTAAAAACATGTAATCAGCATCTCTGCTTGGCCAAGCCAAGGCTGAGCTTCCACGTATTATGCTCCAGGATGGAGCAGTTCAAGTAGCATCTGAAAATAAGTGGGGGGCAGAGACAGAGACTGCAGGGGGTTACTGGGCAGAGGCTAGGGGAAGCTTGAGGGGTGGAAACAGGCAGAGACTGGGAGAAGTTCGGGAGGGGCGGAGGCTGTGAGGAGCTGGAGGTGGGGGCGTGCAGATGGCATGGGGGTGGGAAGGCTGCAGGGTGACGAAGTGGGTGGTGCACAGGGCAAGGGGCCACCTGCCCAGTCCCCAAGCACTGTTTTCCCTGCTATAACACTGGGAAGGCAGGATTCAAGGCAATCCTCCAAATCTTAGATTCTGTACCTGTAAAATTATAACAAATATTTACATTTTACATATATAGAATCCAATTATTGGGATGGTTGTCTTATATGTAGGTTTATTTTATATGTGAGTAAATATGATATTAACTGCATGAAAATGTATGTGTGCCCATTGTGTATGCATATCTGTGTCTAACCATAGAAATATAGCCAGCTGGAAACCCATGGCTAAAAGGTGTTGAGAACCCTCCCATGTTTTCGTCCCAATTGTTGAGTAATTAGGGTAGTCATCCATAAGGCCATAGACCTACACTCTAGGACCTCTTCACCTAGAAGATGTTTGAGCCTGCATCTTTCTCTGACCTCCCAACATAGCACTGTAATAACCACATCACAGGTCAGGCATGATTGAAATGCTTCTCCAGTGCTCCTTGTTGAAGCTGGCAACCTGGACAACCAAGAGTGTGAGATATGTGGAGGCAGGGGGAAAAGACCAACCAACAAAGCATATGCCAAAGTAAGGTGGGTGCTACTCTGGGAGAGAGCACAGCCTGAGTTCTAGCCTGAAGCCTTGTTCCCAGTGGGAAAGAAATTTCACACTGCACTGCTCTTATTCTATGTTATCCAACAAGTAGTAAAGGTAAAGTAAAGTAGTAAAGTAAAGTAGGCTGGAACAGTCCAAGTAGTAGTAGTAAAGTAGTAGTGCCAAGTGAAGTGGGGTTGGGGAGGGCAGGGACTAGCTGATGCCTAACTTATAGTATGGTTGCTGGAGTACTATGCTAAGAAATAAAAATAAATGTAGGCTCAAATCACTTCAGTGGGAGCCTAGAGAACCTGGGTTTTCCTACTTCCATAACAAGTGCACCAGTTATGGCTAAAACATGAGAGGGCTATGATCTTCTCATATATTCTGGTACTTAAAATCATGAGTATCTGTGCATAGCTACAAATGCCAATGTGCGTCCAGAGCATAATGTCAGGGCCAGGGATGGCCAGGTAGAGGGTTAGAAAACTGCCATTTAGATGTTCAAAGGGAAATAGAATTCCACTCTGTGTGTGCTTGTTATTTCCAGGTCTCCCAACTTCACAAGGCCCGTCTAAGCTACAAACCGTCTCCAAAAGTAAAACAAATAAGCTCATGTCACTGAAAACTCAGGCTTCATGCTCATGTAATATTCTGCTGAGTATAAGGAAAAAGGGACCCGTACAAGGTTTCCGATCCTCTGCACAAGAGGGAATCCCTTGTGCTGGCCCAGCTGGAAGGCCCCCAGTGTCTGACAAAGAGACTCTGCAGTTCTGTCTTCCATAGGGCTTCTGCTGGGACCAGAAATGGGAGCCTGGTCTGCTCACCTGACTTGAGGGTAGCAGAGCCAGTGACTGAAAGGGACCTGTATATGTCAAGGTGCAGAAAAAACATCCCATTTCTCAGTGGTGGCCTTAGGGTTGTTGGGTCCCTGGGCAAGACAGTCATTTGGGGCCCCTTATCTGGGGCTCCTTAGAGCAACTTTCTTGCAAAAACTTCACTCCACAAAATTTGTGGCCCCAGGTGGTCACCCGGTTTGCCCTCCCTTAAGGTCACTACTGCATTTCTCTTCTGTGGGCTGAGTTGGCATCATTAGGATTGCAAGTACTGTTACTATAAGCCCCTACATTCAGGGGCACATCACTTCTCAGAACATGACCTCGGGATTGTACCTGTCTGGGATTCTGAATTTCTTTTCATTTTGGCAATTTCAGAAAATTTCCTTTGCTATTTTCAAATATCTGAATGTGGTGCTTCCCCCGCCCTCCCCCCAGCTTTTTCCAGATATGCATTTGTTCTCAGAAACAGCTGCTTCCTAAAACAGTGGACATGGTATCTCACTGGCCAGTCCCCAGAACATTGGCTCCATGAAAAATTGTTCAGAGTGACTAACACTCTGACACAGGACACAGCCCCTAACATGGCTTGGTTTGAAGCTATGCAGTAACCAGTGATACCATGTCCACTGACCCTTGAGCCGCTATTCCATATTCCTTCCACCTCAGGTTCCTATCCAATGCCTAGCAATGGAAGGGGATGTTCCTCTTGCTGTGATACAGCACTCTCAGTAGCCTCTATATAGCTCATAACCACAGTGGCCAAACCGTGGCTTATGAAACACATGTGGCTTGCCAGCACAGTACTTGCAGCTCCCCCAGTGGCTCCAGGGGACAGCACAGACCATCACCTCCTGCTGCTCTGGCTTTCCCCTGCTGGGGCAGGGGCTACAGCTGCACTGCTTACCCCAGAGCACTCCCTGTGGGGAAAGCTGAAGCAGTTCAGCGGTGCAGGGGGAGTTGCTCACCTCCACTCTGGGTCGCTCTGCAACCCCTCTCCCCGCCCTCCCCCCCCCGGCTCTTGATGTGGCTCCAGATGTGGCTCCCAGGGTGAGTAACTCTGGCCACCCCTGGCTTATAATGCCTATGGTGCTAACTGCATCTGCACACTCAGAATGACTCCAGCTGCTAAATCTTCCTTCCCCACCTCCCAGGCAGTTGCCTGGGGACTAAGCAGAGAAGCAGCTGGCTCTAAGGTACATGAGTACCTTTTGTTGTACCACATGACAAGAAAATCTGGCTGTGCAGGGAAATCCCTGGTTTCCCCACTGCCCCAGACCTGCACCCCAAGTTTGGGGTAGCACAGAAAAGTGCTTCCCCATTCTGCCAGCTCCATGGGGCTGGCTGAGCAGGGAAGCACTTTCTCCACTGCCTCAAACCCATGGTGACAGTCTGGGGCAGCAGGGAACACAGGGAGATCACATTTCCCCTTATTCTGCATAATCAAGGGTGGGACAAGAGGCAAAGTATGTTTCACCCAGTGAAGTGGATAGCTATGTTGGGACATGTTGCAACACAAATGATCTGCTCCATTCTGCGAGGTCTGTTTCCAGCCTGAGCCCCCTGACAGGTGTCAGCTATGTCTTCTGCTCTTCTCTGAGATCTGCAAAGAGAGCACTCGTTGCTGCTGCGTGACACACATGATTTTGCTCTCCTCATGCCCCCTCCTGCAGGCTGCCCTTCAGGGTGGAGAGAAAACGGAACGAGCTGCTACTTCTTTTCTGAAGGGAAGGACAAAAAGAGCTGGAATGCCAGCATGGAGGAGTGTAAAAAGAATGGCTCCAAACTTGTAATTATCAACAGCAAAGATGAATTGGTGAGCTGGTTACCCCATCCCTAATGCCTGGTGAGATGAATGGTAATGAGCCTTGGTTTTTGCACTGGCATCTTCCAGTGCCCTCAGGTGCTCACAGCCAGACATGTTCACTCTGCTCTGGGTGGAGATCTGGGTGATGGGAACACTGCCATACCAGAGGAAGAATGCTGTTTGGGGTGCCTTTGCTAAAGCAAGGAAATGGCTCTTATTCTGAAAGAGAAAGGTCCATGTAGGGATTCAGAGGACCTTTGCTGGGCTAACCATCCTGGGACAATTACATGGGTATAACCAATAACTCTTTTCTGTCTCAACAAGCCCTTAGAGACCCTGGAAACAGACCTTCTGGAAATGGGGGTAGGACCAGTGAGAGGTTCTGCCACTGCTCTTCAAGCCACAAACCTATACAGACCCCGTAACTCCAGCCTGATCCCCCTCCCACATTGGCCTTTGCTCCCTGATTGGTGGTCTGGTATCCTATGCCTCAAAGGGTGCTGTCAAGGACTGTCTCTGGGGAAGGGAGAATTTTCTGGCCATGATATCTATGTTCATTTCCCTTCTAGGACTTTCTCAACAGAACATCACGGAATTACTACTATTTCCTTGGCCTGATGTACTCCAACACCACTAGGAAATGGAATTGGATAGATGACACAGAGCTTGATACAGACATGTAGGTGCATTTCTGCCTATCCCTGTAGATAACAACAATAAACATCAGGGAGCCTGACAAATGTGAAGATTGCGGAGCCAGGCACAGTGGTACAGACTCTAGGCTGGGGTTTCCCTGCTAGAGCTAGGCTAAGAGCAGCTTGCCTACCTGCAGGCCAGGAGAGGGGTCCATCTGGGGGATGACTCTGAGGGTTCTTGGGTAGTGGTGGGAGTCTGTGGCAGGCAGGTGGTGATAGTGGGCAATGTGATTATTAGGCACATAGATAGCTGAGTCTGTGATGTCCAAGAGGACTTCATGGTGACTTGCTTGCTGGGTTCAAAGGTAGTGGACCTCACAAGGTGTGTAGATAGCCTGCTGGGGAGGGCTGGGGTCATGGTCCATGTGGATGCCAACAATGTCGGTAAGTATAGCAGGGAGAACCTAGAAGCTAAACTTAGGCTGCAAGGTAGGAGGCTGAAGTCCAGGACCTCTATGGCAGCATTGTTGGAAATGCTTCCAGTGCCATGAGCAGGGTCAGGTAGACAGACAGAGCTCCAGAGGCTCAATGCATGGCTTACACAATGGTGCAGGGAAAACGGATTTAGGTCTATTAGAAACTGGAGGACCATTTGGAACAGGGGGAAACTGTACAGAATGGATGGTCTCCACCTGAGCCAAAATGTTACCAAACTGTTGGCATGTAACATTAAAAAGTTGTTAGGGCTGGTTTTGAACTAAAAATGATGGGGATGTGAGGAAGCCAACAGGTGCGGAACATCACACAGTTTAGACTGACACACCCTATAGGGGTAAAAAACAGTATGCAGACAAGTACAGGCAAATACCTCTAATGAGTAGAAGGTCACACAGAAGTAACCAACCAGGCAACAAAAAAAAGAACAAGTGTTTTTATACTAATGTTAGAGGTCTAAGATCAAAGGTGGGGGAACATGAAGGCTTAGCAGTGAATAATGATATTGACATATTAAGTATCTCTGAAACATGGTAGAATGAAGAAAATTAACGGGATGATGTAATACCAGGATACAAATTATATAGGAATGAGAAAGTAGGCCGTAGTGGTCGGGGAGTGGCACTCTACATCAAAGGCTTCATCATATCAAATAGGTGAGGTTTTTCAACTAATAAGAGGTACCTTAGAACCTTTGTGGATAGAAATCCTGGGTTTCAATAGAAAAAAAAGTACATCTAGGGATATACTATTGACCCTCACATCAGGATGGCAGCAGAGAACTAGGAATGCTAAGTGTGCTGAGACAGGCTGTGACAGGAGAAAAAGCAGTAATTGTGGGGGACTTCAATTATACACAAATAGACTGGGTCAATCTAACATCAGGCCAGAAGACAGACACCAAATTTCTTGATGGTATAAGAGACTACTTCCTGGAGCAGTTAGTCCTAGAACCTACAAGAGGAAATTTCTTTAAGGACATTAGAAGCTAAAGACTTGCGAGGGAGTCAGTTGAGCCCTTGAATGATTAGGGTGCAAAAGGGGCTCTAAACGATGACAGGACCATTACTGAAAAATTGATGTCAATAAGCAGGTGAAGTGAGGTGATCCAGCTGATATAGTATATTTGGACTTCCAAAAGCCTTTGACAAGGTTCCCCATCAGAGGCTCTTAGCTAAATTTGGTATTCCTGGGATTACTGGGAACATGCACTTGTGGACTAGAAATTGGCTTCAAGATATAAAGCAAAGAGTCAGTATAAATGGTCCCTCAGGGATCTGTGTCCAGACCAGTGCTGTTTAACATAGTTATAAACTATCTGGAAAAGGGGGTGAATAACAAGCTGGCCAGATTTGCAGATGACACAAAATTATTGAAAATGGAAAAGACCAAGGCTGACTGTGAGGAACTACAAAAGGACCTGGCATGAGTGAGCAAATGGGCAACCAAATGACAGATGCAGTTCCATGTAGATAAATATAAACTAATGCACCTGGACAAAAATAACCCAAAGTCTACCTTCAATATGGGGGACTCTACATTAGCTGTTACTACACAGGAAAGAGATATGGGACAGTTAACTAAAACCAGTGCCCAGCAGCTTTCAAAAAGTCAAACGAAAAGTTCCGGGTTTTTAAGAAGAGAATTCTAAACAAAATGGAAAGTATCACCATGCCTCTTTATAAATCCATGGTACATCTGCACCTTGAAAGTGTATGCCCAGTTCGGGTCTCCACACTTCAGAAAGGTTATAGAAGAACTATAGAAGGTCCAGAGAAAGGCAACAAGGATGATTAATGCCATGGAGGGGACTTCCATATGAGGAAAGACTAAAGAGGTTAGGCTTATTCAGTTTAGAGATGAGATGCTTGAGGAGGAACAGGTTAAGAGTTTGCAAAATATTAAATAGAAACTAAATAGGGGTTTACTATTTACTCTTTCTCACAATACAAGAACTAGGGAGTCATAAAATGAAACTACTAGTAGTAAGTTTGAACCTAAAAAAGGAAGTTCATTTTACATGTAATTAAGGTGTGGAACTCATTGCCATCAACGTTGTGGAAGCTGACAGTTTAACCAGATTCAAAAAGGGACTGGACAAATTATTTGAGGAAAGGGACATCAGTATCGGTTGAGCACGGCAGTTAGAGATACAGCCCCTGAGTCAGAACTTCCTAGACCTTAAAGTCTGGAGGGTACAAGTCAAAGAACAGTGGGAAAAAACCTCTGATCATACCCAGTTCACTCCTCCTTTCAGCATCCACTCTCTGCCACGGTATGACATAGGATCTTGGCAACATGGACCTATGATCTGACTCAGTAAATGCCAGTTCTTATGTTCCTATGTCTGCTGGCGGTGACATTTGGCATCGGTCATCTTCAGTGTGGACAGGCCTGGAAATGGGGTGAGGACCCACAATTTTCTGTAGATTGACTGAGGCAGAGGCATGTGGTCCTGGAGTGGGTATCAGAACAGAGCTGGGTGCTGGGAAGTGGTTGTACAATGTGATCCTAGCCCCTCATAGAGAAAGGGCATCAGGTCAGAGATAGCTCCTTGGAAGGGAAAGCAAAGCCAGGGACTGTCAGGTGGGTTGGGACAATGGGGAAAGAGACCAATGAATGCTTCTGTGGAGCAGCTGGCCGGGACAAAAAAACACAGTTGCACAGTGCCTGGGCCTATATCTCCCTGCAAGTGAACATCCATCACTTTGCATGGGGCTTTAATACTTTAACACAGGACAGAAATGGGACTAAATAGAAGCTCTGGTTCTTTTCCTCTGCCTGCTCAGATTCAACATAAAGCGGAACTTCTCTGACTATTTCTGTGCTGTTGTGGGACACAACCGTGTAGCGAGTGCTGATTGCAATGGATCCTCAACAACCGACTATATGTGTGAGAAAGCTGTGAAATAATCCAGATGTTCCAGGAAGGGGAAAATCCCCAGACAGCGGGAAAAGTCACAAGGACTTCCCCTTGGCACATTCACTAATATACATGCAAACACACACATGCATAGGTGCCAGCTCCATCTCCTCCTCACATACTAGGATCAGAAACATGTGTAAACAGACTTTCCCATATTCCCAGGTGTCATCCAAAACAGCACCTCCATGCACAGCCTCACACAAGTGTATACACACAGACCTGTGGTCTTATGTGTGTGCAAGTGCTATCATGCTTGCAAGTGTCTGAGCGTATTCTACAGAGGAGATGGCACAGCCATATGTGACAAGGCTGTCCACTTGTGCAGCCTATAGCCATGTTTTGCCTTGACCTAGATGAGACTATCCTTTGTGTTGTGTGGGACTGTGAGCGTATGTACCCTTCCGCCCCATTGCCATATTCAAATTGCCTTGACCTCTCTCTTGTCCTCCCCACTCACGTGCCACTCCGTGATAGTAAAATGATACTCAGGAGGATGGATGATTCTCTGAGCAGAAGTCATGCTGGCAGGGTCACCGGTCTTCTGCAGCCCTACACCCTGCCCCTTTCCTCTCAGGCTGTTGGTTGTAAGTGTGAGATGCCTAGTAAAGACTCCTCTCAAGCTCAGCTGAGTTCTTTGCTCCACAGCTTCTCAGCATCTGTTTCCTCTGGCCAAATCCTTCCTTGGCTTAACTAATCAGGTTACACTTTGTCTGCCTTCTCTTCTCTCTTTCTCTCTCTCTCTCTCTTTGTTATCATCTCTATATCTTTCTTTGTGGAACTCACTGTTTCTGTAATTATACCTGGATCAACTTATTTAATGCTTTCTCATCTCTTGTAGCCTTAATTCAGGCCTTACAGACTGAATCACTTTGAAGACCCCAGGTGCAGGATATAAGGCCCTGTTTAACCATAAATCAAACACTAGGGCAGGGATAGGTAACCCGCAGCATGGGTGCCAGAATGTGGCACGCAAAGGCTTTTTGCTTGGCGCACGTGCTTTGGAGTAGATGGTGGGGAAAGGGCTGGGACTGTGCTGCCACAAGGATCAGGCCCCTCGTGGCTCCCCTACCGTCTGCCCCCGATACACCAACAACTTACAAGTCAAGGTGGCAGGTGCTTTTGACACTCTACCCAAAAACGGTGCCGACCCCTGCGCTAGGGGGATCCTTCTCTCCAATTGTCTCTCATTTACTCAGGGACAATAACTCAAAAAGGGGATTTCTTATTCCTAGCCTCCACTGCTTCCAGTTCCTTAACAAAAAGGATTTGATCATTCTTGTGTTTTTTCAGTTTGATGGCTCAGATAGGCTGTTACCATCCAGCTTAAGCCCTGCTTGTCTTCTCCTCAGGATGCTGTGCAAATCCCTTCTTTGCTTTAGCCACCTCAGTTTTCCTGTAGGCTCCACTCCTCTTGATGGGTTCATCCTCTCCCTCATCCCGGTCAGTCCCTGCCAGTTATCCCATGTGGTATCCCTCACCCCACCCTGGCTCTGGGGGCACGTGGGGATGACCCACACTACCCCGCTGTCTGCAGGTACTTATCTCTCTGGAAGGACAGAGGTGTTCCTTGCTTGTGGCTTGCCTGCGTCTCAATGACTCTTGAAGGTTCAGCTGACTGGACTTTCATCTCTGCTGGTCTTCACAGCTCCAGGTCTAGCTGAGCAGTCTCTGCTCTGGGAGATGTCAAATGCTGCATCTCTCTTTGGGGTCTTCCTTTAAACTGCCCAGTTTTCTTTCTGAACCAATCAGTGCAGACTCCCTGGGGCATGTGCTCTCATGCCTCTGGGTCCTGCCTGTTTCCTGGGTTTTCCCCAGACCTTTTCCTCTGGCCTGCTGGGACACACGGCTCACTCAGACCCATCTGAGTAAGTTTCCTGCCAGCACAGCCAGCTCTGCAGGGGTATAGCAGGGACTTGGTCCCAGCCTCAGCTACAGGGACTGTGAAGACAAAGAGGTCCCTGAGAAGCAGGACCTGTTTCCCAGCCAGGCCCTGGGCATATATTCTAGCAGGGACAGGAGGACTCAGAGCCAGTGATATTCCCATCACCACCCAGCCACGCTTCATACAACCCTGGCAGCCTGCACCCACCAGCACTGGAGATGTGCACAATGGCAGTAAGCATGCATGCCTCACACAGGAAGAGTTCTGGCATATCGGTGTGACCCACTGACATTTATTTATGCAGCTGCTCTGGGCTGCCACCATTACAGACAGATGTGAGCAAATGCTAGCCCTGCCAGCCCTGTCCCTTGTACTGCTGAGGCAGCAGAACCAAGATTTGCATGCAAAACCCCCTCTCCTTGCACCACTGCCTGCACATTCCTCTTGGACACATAGGCAACTGGTAGGGAGGGCATGGGGGGGTGGGCATGTGACCCCCTGACAGTGCCGTCCCCACCACTGCCGGCATCTGTGGCTGCTTGCCAGCTCTGTTCCTGTTGCTACCACTGCTGGTACATCCAGAGGATGTACCATGGACAAGCACATGTAAGTAGATTCCTGAGTACACAGGCCTCATGCAGGGTTTCAAGAGCATAGCAATATACTGTGCATCACTGGTGGCAGGCTAGTGCTCACAGTCTGGCAGAGGTGGGTCTGGCAGATACTTCCCATGCCCTTCCCTGGTCTGCCCATGGAAGTGCAGTAGCCAAGTATTAGCACTGCCAGCGATGCCTCACTCATCCCTGGGACATGGATGGAATCCTGTTGTCTTCCATTCCTGCAGGAACTTCAAGGGGAGGGGAGGGCACCAATATCACGGTGCATCAGGTGGGATCTCATTAGGCCTTGGGAAGAGGAGCTGTCACTGCCTGGCTACCAGATGGGCCAGTCCCAAGGTCCATGGTTAGGGCTGGCTGGGAAACCACAACAGCATATTGCTGTGTTTCCTGCCTGCCTCCCACCCTCTCTCCACCCCACACACGCTTGGGGTGCTGCAGTGAGCACTCCAAACACAGCCAAACCTGAGCTGGCAGCAATCTCATCCCTGGGGAGCCAAAACAACTTGGGATAGAGCCAGCCACCACCAGTCTCCAAGACTGGGAAGAGGCTCTCGCAAGGGCATTTTAGGAGCCATGAAGGGGACCAGGTTCTCTCTGAACCTGGTGATGAAATGGTAACCCCATGTTATGTTTCCCACCCTCCAAGGTTGGCCCATGTTGCCTTGAGAACCTGAAGGTCAAGGGCTTTATCGGCTGCCAGGCACCTTGTGAACATGAGGGCAGGCAGGAAAAGGAGCAAAGAAGAAGTGCTGGGGGACTCCTCCAAGCAGTGCACCTGGCTATAGAGGCCAGGAGGGAGCTGGGGTAGTACCACCATTAGGACCATAGTGTGAAGTGTGGAGCAGGATGTGAACCAAAAGCAGGCACAGGAGAGTGTGGTAATCAGTGCAGAGAGGAGGCCAGGCAGTCAAGAGGGGTCACTTCTGTCATAAGGGGCTAGTAGGCCTGAAGCAACATCCAGCACAAACAGCAAACACAAGGCTTTTTCCTGGCAGCTCTGATCAGCCAGTCATGCATGGTGTAGTCAGTGAACCAGCCCCATCACTCAGCTTTTGTTCACATTGCAGTTTCCCCTGTAATCTCTTCTTGTGGTCCTCCCCACCTGTGCTGCTGAACACCTCATTCTGGGGCTGCTTCTGTCCACACTGCAGTATCACCAGCCACAGTTACTCCACCATGGACATGGAGCACAGCACCTCCTGGGAACCACACTGCTTTGACCTCTCTAACCCCAACATGCACCTGAATCCCTTTCACTCCTTCCCTCAGGGGATCCAAACCTATAAGGGGATGGAGGACATTCTCTCCTTGGAAGCTGTAAACTTCAGCAAGAAGGGAAGGGCTGAAGAGCCCCCAGCCGCACTCCATTTGCATGTTATGTGTAGTTAGTTGTGAAAATATGTCTAATTCTTTCCCATTTCCATTTGATCTCTGGTATTTGGCACAATCTCTTGTAGCCATGCTGTTAAGCCCTGCTATGTTGTGTTTTTCCGGCTGCTTCATTTTGAAGGTTGCCTGTGATTGCAGTGATCCACTTTCTACTGGGACCAAAATAAAGGGCCTCTTAAAAAAAAAAAACCAACCAAACCCCCAAAACCCTGTTATTGTTCATTTTATGCAGCTCATGGCATTTATTGGATGGGGTTGCCATTAAGCCTGTGCGGATAGAGGAGTATTCGATTCAGATTCAGATCTGGCTGATTTGGAAGGCAGTCATTCAATTCACAGATTGGGATCACAGTCCCGAATTGATTCGGGTGAATTGGATTAAGTGCCAATTTGGAGAGATTTGGAGATTCGGCCATAGAGTATAATGGGGAATCAATGAAATACCTATCACTTCGTCATTTTCTGGTTGATTCAGATAAATATTGCAGGGATGGTAGCGCACTCTGAGGGCATGAAGTCTGTCAAGTTTCAAGGAGATAGGTGCAGGAGTTTCTGGGAAACTGCACCTCAAATCAAAACTCATGTCACGTGTGTATGTTAAGCCACAGCGGGCTGAAAACTACAGGCATGCTAGCCCCTGCTGAGGCCATGAAACCTGCCAGCTTTCAAGGAGATAGGTGCAGGAGTTTCTGAAAAACTACACCTCAGGCTGCTGACAAGCAAAACTCGTAACATGGGTGATTGTGTGTATGCTAAAGCATGCCCTAACTGGCGCTGGAGCATCTACATGACATGGTATTGTGCCTAGTAGCCCTTGTAAGCAGTGCATTGCAGCACAGTAGTACTAGCATCTCAGGCAGCCAAACTATCAGAGAGCCTTTCTTTCCTTTCCTGCAGGAGCCCCTGTGTGCTGCTTCTGCCCCAGGTCTTGGCAGGCTGTGGCACTGGGCCTCTCCATGGCCTCTCTGCCACGTTTCATTGGCATAGTCATCAGAACAGGAGCTTGCACCCTGCTGCCTGTGGCCCCTGGGACCAGCACTGCCCAGAGCCCCTGAGAGCTCACTCACACCCTCTCTAGACCCCCAACCTCATGGCTGTTCTGGGCTGGCACTACTCTGAGGGACAGGTGATAGGGGAAGCCAACAGGGGCTTGGGCTCCACAAGGGTTCAGAAACCTCCTCCCCTTTTGCCTTAGCTGGCCCAAGGAACATTCAGCCCCAGGCCCAGCAGTCCATGCCAGCAGGCAGTGCCTGGCTTTGTTCCCTCACCTGGCTGTGGACAAACTCCTCAGAGGAGTCCAGTCCACCACCCCTTCCTCCTTGCACCTGGCTTGCACCTGGCTTCTCCTCTGAAGGCAGAGTACCTTGCCCACAGGTGGGTGGCACGTGGGCAGGGCCCCTGCTGTGAAGGCCTGCCCCCCTGGGGAAATGCTGCTACTCATTGGCGATGCATAGGGTGTGCACATGGGTGCACGTGCACCCCCTGAGTGTGGTGGTGCACCCCCTGCAAAAAGGCGCCACTGACACTGCCGGCGGCACTTGCGGGAGGTCGCTGCTCGCCACCTCCCCCTCCCCCCTGCTGCCAACACCACTGATGGCATCTGTGGGCAGTCCACTATTGCCAGTGGCATCTGCAGGTAGATGCCGCCCCCTGCTGCTGACAGCCTGCAGGAGCAATCTGTGCCCTCCCAGCCTCTGAGGTCACATGGCGTTAATGCTGCTACTCCAGCCCCCAACCTGGCACAGGTTGGGAACATGGGGTTTTGCACTTGTCTCCAGCCATCCTGTGGCCCCAAGATGCTATCGCAGGA